GAGAATTGAGTTACACAGAAACTATAAATGCTCACTATGTTTTCAAACAAGTCTCCAATCTCCAGCTGCAGCTTTACATTTTACATCTCGAAATAATACGATCAAATAGTTAGTAGTGTTTATTATCTTCACAATCTGTAAAGTTAGTTACCATATCAAGTAATCCTTTGCCCATAGTTGAGCATTAAAAAAGCCACCAAACAAGGTAAATAAAAAAAAATAATTGAGAATTTAAAAATCTAGAGATAGGGATCGTAAGAAAAATAAGGAAACAAGGTTGGAGATACTATAGACATTATTTACTCAAACTACAAATCCCTATTTTTACTCCACCAAATGTAATTCTAGGTAACAGCATGGAACCCAAATAGAGGTTTGTAATTTGAGTAAATAATGTCTACAGTATCTCTAGCCTTGTTTCTTTACGTTTTTATTATTCCTATTTGCACATTTTTAAATTCCCATTTTTTTATTTATCTTGTTACTTATTATTAGTTTTAGTTCACCTTGAAATAATGGTGTAAAGAGTTCCAGCGAGTTAGCCGTATTTGAGCTACTTAAATAATGAAAACTGTGTGACTCTGGATGATTTTCGCGACATTATTCAACCTTAAATTTTGCATAGAATAATTGTATAAGAAGAATTCCAAACGAATAACCCAACACACCTTAAGTAACATGTTATAATAAATGAATTATAATGATATAATTTCTTTAATTATTGAGTAAGAGGTTATTTATAAATGAAATAGAATTGTGTTGCGTAAATTATTTCTAACGTGTTAAAAGTGTACACTAAATGGGTAAAAGCATACTACATCCTGTTGTTTAAACGTTGACGATAACGCCTAAGACAGCTGCTTTCTGCTGTAGTCTTTTGAAATAAGAATTTTGTTTTTCATAACACCACCTACTTTGTGTCACGAATTTGTTGTTATGTATTTATTTTTAATATGAAAGTTGTTTAGATTAAGTATTTAAAAACATGCATAACTTAGTGTTAGATATGTATTGCGTGTAACGAATTTGTTATAGATTTATTTTAATGTTAACGTTTGTCTGAATTGAGTTAATATTTAAAAACGTACCTAGCTTACAGTGTTAGTTACGTACTGCGAAACTCCCGCCAATTCTCCAAGGTTGTAGAATATTCGTGAACTTAAGAATCGACAATATATCCACTTCCGTAACCGGTTAAATATAGTTCAGTATTGTTGTCCGAACTTTCTAGAAAACCATTTCTCGCACCTATTAAACAGGCAAGGCGACGCGGCAAAAAGAGAGAGCTTATAATTCTGCTAGGAACCTGTTATAACCGTGTACGCTATAAACAGTGATTTTGCTGACCCTTATCAAATATACGACATTTGACCAGAAACAGTTATAAATTTCGAACGTCAGTGGATTCTCATCGGACGTTAGTATCTTTCCGAAAGTATTACTGAATTCTCATCGGACATTAGTAGTTTTATGAAAATAATGTCTTACCTTAACGGTCCAACAATTCAGTGTCTGACAAAGCTAGCTAGCTTCTCCGCAATTGTACGTACATCGACTTCAAGTTAACTCGCTGTATATCAAGGAGACTCTGAACTAGAAAGAAGATTCTATGTTGTTTGTAAGTTAGTGAAATTGTTGTTTATAAAACTTTGTAGTATCTATTCGTAATAATTGTTGTTGTAAATTGTACTGTTGTATATATATTAAAACGTATTTGTGTGGAAAACGAAGACCGTGTGTGTCAATCTTGTTGGCAAATAGCGTAAATTAACCAAAATATCGGCTTCGGACTATTTTAAATTCTCAATACGTAACAACAGAAATCCAACACTCCATGGCAGTTAGTTGAATTAATATTTATTTGTGCTCATGAGCATTTAATATCTCAGTTCTGGACGCATGAGCTGGAAAATAATAACAAAAATCTGTAAAACGCAAAGAAAATTTGTTCCTCTCCCACTTTTTTTGCACCAGTATGCATGGATGATTTCATATAAATATTGTTACGTAAGTCAGATAAAAATAAGAGTGGAAATATATGTAGTAGGTGGAAACGATATGCAGAGGTTTTATGCAAAAGGAGTTTTCTTTAAAATCGGAAATCTAAGTTTTTATTTATTAGATGATATGAATTCCAAAACGCGAGTGTGCTTAAAGGGAAAGGTAGGCAGAAAGCGAAAGTTATGAACAAAACGTTTTATCGAAAATTGTGACGAATGTATATTAATTCACAGCAAAACTTCAAGACCAGTTTATTCAACAAAATTGTTAACACGGCTTGCATTCGTAAAAAAAATGGTTTCAGTAGTTAGTCATAATGTTCAAGTTCCTGAGACTGTGCATCTTCAGTAAACCATAAAATCATTTTCACCAGGTAAGTTGGCCATTTATTTAAACAGCAGAATGAAAAGTACACGTATTCGCTGCTCATAACTTTACTTGGCCCAACAGCGAAACACAACTGTAATGTCGACTTGCATCATACATTTTAAAAACGAACTTCACTAATTTCCTGGACTGTAAATGAATGCTGTTTCGTAGGTTTCCACCTGAGAATGAAATCATTTAAGGTAAAAGGTGTCGCAAAATTCAACGATGTTCCTGTTTATTCTGGTAAAAAAAATGAATATGCTAGGTTTTGATTAGTCTTTTCCCACATGTAGCAAAAATATCTTGTTATGTGTATTTTGATCGATATCGAGAAAACTATTTTCCACAGAAAATACCTTAAATTTGGATAAGTTAGCTAACCAGGTAGTCGAAAGTTCATAACCCATTCGTTTGGGTCTTGAGACTTTCGATTTATTAGTCAATTAGGTCAATTAAATGGAACGTCCCCATCCGAGCTTCGAAAGGTCCATTAAACATTTTGAAACATCGCATTCATCCATCTAGGATTTCTTATATAGAACTTGTAACATCAAAATATTTCGAGAATACTAAACACTGGTAAGTTCAGCAACTGTTTGTGTACCGAAAGCTCTTTAAAAACTGGCCTTTGTTCTAAAGAAGCTATTGTAGATTGTAATCATTTAGCGTTTGAGTGATAAGGTCAGTCATTCTATTAAAATACTTTATTTTAAGATTGATAATATTGTACAAGTTATTTCTAACAGTAATTTATCGCTAGTAACGTTATGCCTAAAGTTTGTAGCAGTGGTTTGTTACGTCGTTTTCAACAGTATTGTCCCATACTCTGTACAAGTTATTTACTGATGTCAATAATAAAGACCTATTCGTCACAAGAAATGAAGTAATGTCATTTAGTATGCTTCGTTTGGGTTTTTATTCATTTATTTATAACAAAATCGTATCTGACATGAGTAGTTAGTATGGTATTGCAGTGTATTGTGCAATGCTTGAAATAAATTTAATATCTGGTTAAATCGTATACAAAAATGAACTTCGTACAGTGCGTGTGAATAAATAACTTCTAAGAACAATACAGTAGTGTTTTTATTTTATGTTCTCCCAGCACTGTGATTAGCAATAAAGTTTACTAATTTTTCGATCGTTACTTCCCACTTCCTGGTCGGAACGTGAGATGATGCATACTCTCGCGTCTCTTATTCTCCCAGTGTGTCGGCGGTAAGTTTACAGAATAACTAAATCTGGGGTTCGATTCCCCGTGATATACGTAATGTACATAATGTAGATAGCCTATTGTCTATCATTGCGTAAAGTACTTTTGACTTCATATTTTACATAAATTATCATTAATCGTAAGTTGTTATTCTTCAAGTGAACATCACAACCTACTTTTAAATTGATGTTGTATAAAACTTTATCACGCTGTCTCCAGTCGTTTTTAATGTGTATAGTCAGTTTTACCAGTAGAGATATTTAATGCACCTTTTTATTTGCCATCCACGTTTAATAAGCTGAGAACATCAATAATAGTACAAACTCATTATTGTGTTTGAAAATACATCGTTGTGGCTAGTAGGATATGTAACTGTTCTGTGGAAAGTTAATGTTGAAAAGAACTTGAAGAGTAAACATGTTTAGGCGTCATGCTTACAAGACATTTACACAACAAGTTCAACTATAATTTTTATTTTTCAGTTGTAGATGTGAATAGTGTCAAAAAATTGTACTTGTCCAAGTTGCTTCTATTATGTCTTTAAAATTATAATTTTGATTTGTTATTTTAACCTTATTTATCTGATTTACTTACATTATTAGCATTTAATACAACATGCATTACTTTGTTTGTAATGCGCCAAGATTTTTGCTGTTTCAGTGAATTGGAAATGTCAACATATCAAAGTTTTGCATTCAGCTTTCATTTAAAGAGAAGTATCACCTTTCTTCAAATGTTTCATTCACTTTTGCTTGAATTTTATGAGGTCAGTGCAACAGCTTGACTTGGAGGTTAAATGTCAATGTGGATCACTCACTAAAATTGCAATTTTATTTTCAAAGTATAGTTTATAAATGTAATGATTTCCATTTGTTAACAAAGAAAAGCATTAAAAATACCTTTTACTCAGTTTAGGATTGCTTAAGCCTGTTTGTAGCTAAAGCATTGTTAGATAATAGAGGGAATTGTAATTGTACTATAAATTAGAATTTTTTATATTTATGTAATATTGAAAAATATCATTTCGCTGAATTATATTAATGAAGCTGTATATCTATTTTTATAAGCTTATCATTTATCCAGAAAAGATAAATTTGCAAGTAACACTTTTTTTAAACAATTAACAAAAAAAGTATGGAAAAATGTCCCTCTAAGCTTTCTAAGGAGAGTTCATTTTAACTTCCAAGTAATTGTTATTTCTGGATAAATTTGTGCACTATTGAAAAATTCTAGCCACCTACTATGTAGTCAGTACATTCAGATGAGAAAAAGAATGATTCAAGTGCTCTGTACTACACATCCCTTTTAATATTCATTTTCAATCTAGGTTATAGAACAACAAAAAGAAAAGATGAAATATTGATCCCTGCTAGGATGTCAAACATAAAATGTTGATAAATATTTATTTTGATTCCAGATCTTTTGATAGTGATTTATCATAGTAAAAGTAACTAGAACAGCATGGGGTTGAGAGGCAGTAGGCAAAAGGCAGAAATTACTGCTCCACCAAACCCAGAAAAGGATAGAAAAGTTAAACGCAGAAAAAGCAAAAAAGATGCAGCTGCAGCTAATGGGGGAGTTGGAACAGAAGGAGCTCAGGTAAGTTTTTAGTGGGTTATGGATGTACTTAGATATATTTATCTGATCAAGGTTATTTTTTATGCACTAGTAGGTTATGTGGCTTCTGTTTTCAAAAGCTTTGTTTTTGTGGGGGTTTGCTAATACACGTAATTGTGTTGATGTGAGCTATAGATGTGCAATGTTGTATTAGATATGTATGAGTTAAATGTGCACAGGGTATAATTCTTTGTGTATGCTTTTAATTTTATTAACATGTATGAAAGATGTACGCACAATATACTTCTGTAGATATATGCTTATTATGATTTTCTTGTTGTAACATTGTTCTTTTGTTGGGAGTTTTTTTAAAGTATTTGGTGAAAATATTTCAAAGTCTGATCCATATAGATCCATATAATGATAAATTAGTTTATTTCTTCCTTCATATTTCTATAACTTGTACATCAAACTTTTACATACGATGTTCAAATGGAAATACCTTGATAAATGGTACTAAAACTAGCATACAAATAAACTTGTACAATTTTATGGCTAATCGACTCACATAACTGAATATACATGATAGCTAATGCTAATTCAAATACTCCATGAAACTAATCTTACTACTCAATACTCGTTAATTGCTAGTTTAAAGAAGAACATTGACTCAAGTATTTATAATTAATCCTCATCCCTTGACATTTTACAAATTTACTAGGTTTTTGTGATATCAAATTTAGAGCTCTTTAGGCCTACTCCAACAAACCTACTTGATCTTAATATCAATAACTTTCTAGCTAACATACAATTAAGAAATTAATGGCTGGAGACAGCTTGAATGGGTAATGAAGAAAAACTTTAATATAAGTTTAACATAACAGCAAATGTACAACATTTCGACCTGATGATGACAAAACCTTGTCGAAACATTGTACATTTG